CCAAGGCGCCCCTCCCATCGGCCAGTGTGGCCCCCACCCTCCCAACTGCCCCCGAGGCCCAAGGGTCGAGGCCCTCAGGGCCCCTGGAGCCGTCCCTGCTGTCCGGAGTGGTGCAGGCCCTGCGAGGTCGCCTCCTGCCTGGCCTGCGCCCCCCAGGGCCTCCCCGGCCCCTGGCTGGACCCCACCCGACCGTCCTGCCCCCAGAGGACGAGGATGATGTGCTGCTGGTGCCGCTGGCTGAGCCCAGCGTCTGGGTGGTGGAAGTGGAGGACGAGCCTCTGCTTGCCTGAGGGGTTCCGGCTCTCCCGGGGGCTCCAGTCTCACCTTTCCGGGGCCCCCAACTTCCTGTCCCCTACTTCTGCCCCTTGTCAGAGGGGACCCGGTGGCCTTCCCACCGACTCTGTCACTGCTGTAAGTTGGGGGTCCCTCCAGAGGGAGAGGGCCCCCCAAGTCCCCATCCATCGCCGAGACTGTCTTCACTGTCACTCTCGCAGGGGGCCAAAGTTCTTCAAAGTCAAAGGCCTGGACACTCCGCCCTTGCCAAAACACACCCCCCACCCCCTACCTAAAAGTGGCCTTAAACACCAGGATGCCAATGGGCTGGAGACCTTCAGCTTCCACTGGGAGCATCTGGGCAGGCCCTGAGATCTGGCCCGCCCTGTTCGCTCCTCCAGGGCTCAGCACATAGGAAAAGCACAGCAAACGCTTTTGTCCCATAGCTAGGTCGTTGCCCAGGAAGCCCAGGTTGAAAATAAAGGAATCCGAAATGTAAGTGGTTTGTAGTCAGCCTGGGCTCTGCTTCTGCCCGCCTGGCATCTGCTCACCTCTGCCCCTCCCGGCAGCAGGGAGGAGCCTTGTCTGCCTTCCAGTTCTTGCTCCTTTCCTGTTTCTCTTCCAGCTACACACCCTTGATTCTCATACCCCCCCCCCCCCCCGAAGGTAAGAAAACTCCCAGAACCCCAAGGACCAACTTTTCACATGATACCCCAGTCCTGCAGGGGTTAGCCCCAAGCTGCTTTGCTCACTCCCTCCCGCCCTGAAGTCTGGTTAGCCAGCTGGGCCATGCGGCTGGGAAGATTCCCATTTGTGGAGTATTTCCAGAGCACAGATCACAGGAGCAGACTGTCCCTGATAGAATGCGGGAGCCCGGAATCCCACCCGCACCAGGCACTCACAGTCTGTCCTGGGCAGGCAGACAACTCTCAGCCAGGATGCCTCAAAGCAGGCTAAGAAGAGCTGAGGGAGAAATCTTACTTGGGGCTAGAGAGAAAGAGTACAGCAGGTAATGCACTTGCCTTGCACACAAGCAGGCCTGGTTCAATCCCCGGCATCCCATATGGTCCCGAGCCCACCAGGAGTGATTCCTGAGTGCAGAGCCAGGAGTTGACCCCAAAATAAGATGTGAAAATGCTGGTTATCACCTTTGTAAAATCTTTTTGGCAGAAAACTCAAACTAGATTTGAAACAATGGTGTTGGGGGGCAGAGAGCTAGCTCAACGACTGGAGCATTATCTGTGATTGAGTCCCCACTTCTTGGAGTGACCCCAAAGCACTGCTTGCTATGGCCCCCAAAAACAAAAATTTTGTGGTGAGGGCCAGAATGATACTGCAGGTAGGGCACTCGCCTGGCACATGGGGAATTCCCAGCGTCTGGTTCGATTCCCAGAATCTCGTATGGTCCCTCAGGCACTGCTAGGAGTGATTCCTAACACAGAGCCAGGAGTAAGCCCTGAGCACTATCAGGTGTGGCCCCAAAAGACAATGCTGTTGGGGTCAGGGATATACATAGTTTAAGTGGTAGAGCACAGGCTTTGCAAGTGAGACCCTGGGTGTGATCCCGAGAACAAGAAGTGCTGTTGGTGGTTGGGATAAAGTTTGACTTCAAGGCTGGGTGAAAGTTCACAGGATAAGCAAGTATGAGAGCTGGGCCACAGGCTATACCTCTGGGAGGGGAAACCACAGGGCCCAGAGCAATAGTACAGCAGGTAGGGCAGTTGCTGGTGTCTGTTCAATCCCTAGCACCCTGTATGACCTCAGTCCTTGAGCACAGAGTCAGCTGTAAGCCCTGAGTACCTCTAGGTCTGGCCCAAACACAAGGAAAGGAAGGAAAGCATTAACAGTGACCAGAGCTGAAGCCCTGGAGGGGACAGGGTGACAGACATGGGGATATCTGAGAAACGTTTGAACCAGCCTCCGGAAGCAAGGTGACACACTGTCCTGGCCTGTGAAGGGAAGATTGAGCATAGGTCAGGGGACTCTGGGGGTGGGGTCCTGGTTTGGGGCTGAGTGCGTGTTCCCTCTCCTCTCATCTGGAACCTAGGGAGGAGGCAGAGGAGATACACACCATCCTGCACCCCAGCCTCCGCTCGGAAGAACCGAGCTGATGCCAGACCCTCTCCAGAGACCTTGGTCCTTGCTTCTTACTGTCCCTTGGGGGTACAGGCATGTGAGGGCTCACCAGGGTGGGTGCAGTGAAGCAGGGGGCGCTGTTCTCCCCTATGGCTTGTGGCCACCTGGGTTACCCCACCTCTTCTGTACCGTATCCTCATTCCACCTGGAAATCTTCAGCCTGGTACTCTCAAACTTTGTCATATATTTTTTGGTTTGGTTTGGGGGCCATCCCCAGCATTGCTTAGATTTTTTTTTTTATTCTTTGTTTTCTTTCGGAAGGGACCACCCCTGGTGGTGCTTGGGCTTACTCCTTGCTCTGCACTCAGGGATCACCCTTGGCAGGCTTGGGGGACCATATGTGGTACTGGGGACCAAACCTAGGATGGCTGCGTGCAAGGTAAACATCTTAACGTGCTTTCTCTGCACCTCCCCCACTCTTGTGAGAGGAATGGGGTCTCACAGTGACAGCCAGCCTGTTCCTGAGCTGTGAACAGTAGAGCTGCTCACGCTAGTAGAGCTGGTAAGGTGCTTGTCTTACTTGTGACTGACCTGGGTTCAATCTCCAGTGCCCCATATGCTCCCTGGAGAGCCAGCTCTGAGCACCACTGGGTGTACCCCTACCCCATTAAAAAAAGTGACCCAAGAACACTAAGGGAAATAGCCCCTGAGCACTGTTGGTCACACCCCTCCCCCAAAGAAAAAAAAGATTCCAGGGTCTGGAGCCACAGTAAAGTAGGTAGGAAATTTGCTTTGAAAACCCACGTTCCATCCCTGATACCCCCACATAGTCCTCCAAGCACACCAGGGGTGATCCCTGTGTGCAGATCCAGGAGTAAGTTCTAAGCACCTCATGGTAAGTTCTAAGCATCCCTTCAGACCCCCCTACAAAAAAAGACTCTGGGCTGGAAAGAGTACAGTGGCTAGGGTGCTTGCCTTATATGTGGCTGACCTGGGTTCAATCTCTGGCACCTCCTATGGGTCCCTGAGTCTTGTCAGGAGTGAGTCCTGAGCTCAGATCCCAGAAATAAATCCTGAGCACTACCAGGTGTGGCCCAGAAAATATCCTTGCTGGGGGCTGGGATGTGACATGGCTAGGCAGCAGAGCACCATCCTTGCAGGGTTTGATCTAACACCTCAGGGAATAGCCAACTGTGGCACTATCCACTACCAGATGTGGCCCCCCAAAAGACCCCTAAGTTATTGCACTCACTGTAGGACCCAACCTACAGGTGCTAGGAGGGACCCACTGGGACTTCAGTTCCCAGCACCACGTGGTCCCCCTGAGGACTACCATCACTGAGCACAGCTAGAGTAGCCCTGACCTGTAACCTCCCCCCTCATTGCTCCCCCCCCATTCCCACCATGCAGTGTGTGAGCCCCAAACAGAAGCAAAAACATTGTTTCCAGCAATAGGAGACAGTGGGATGCTGAAGACTGGAAGGCAGGATCCATAGAGATGAAAATTGATCTTTGTCTTTGGCATTAGAAAGATCTCATTGATGGGGCCAGAGAGATGTAAGCAGGAAGGACACTTTCCTTGCACACAGCCAGCATAGGTTTGGTACCTGAAGCACAGCCAAGAGTGATTAATGAACACGATTAGGGACCCCCCAAAAAAATTAAATCTGGGTGAGAACCATGATGTCCCCATTTTCCAGCTGTGTAATCTGGGGAGAGACCACCCACCTTCTGTGTCAGCTTTAGGATCACAGGGATGAGAGCGACGAGGCAAGAAGTCACCCAGCACTTTGGAGTGGGGAGCCCAGGCAGTGGGGGAGCATGCAGGTCTCACGGGGGGGGGGGGGGTCAGCAAAGTAGTGTGCGCGCGGGGGAGGGGGGAACAGGAGCTTCAGAGAAGCAGAAAATGAGGTCTTGCCAAATGGAGGGACATTGTGGAGCCCAAAGTCTGGAGGCCGTTTCACCCTCCAGCATGCTTGGAAGAGGTCCTGGCACCAAAACGTCCGTGGAATTGGAACTTCTAGAACACTGGTCGGTCTCCGGGAATCTCTCCTCCTTTGATAGCACGAGGTCAGCGGGTGCCAGCAAAGGAAAAGGATAGGGAAGGGATAGGGGAGGAAGCCCCCGCCGCGGAGTTCTGCACCCACTTTCTTCCTCAGAACCCCCATCTGCCAGGGGCTAGGACAAGAAATGGCATTTTTGTGGATCTCAACCCCAAGGGGTGGTTGAGGAAGAAGACAGTGTGCGGAGCGGAGCGGCAGGATGCAGTCCCCGGGGGGCCTCTGCCTTTGGACCCCTCTGAACAGCCGTGGGGCTGGGCACTGGGCGATGGCTGAGATAGAGGCAAATGACCCACAGCCCCTGCTCCAGGGGGAGGGCACGTCCTGGCTCCCTCCCGCCACCCCACTTCCCTGAACCGCGACCACCCAACCGCGACATCACTTTGTTCTCTCCGCGTCTCAGCCCGACTCCCGCAGTGTGCGCGCTCCTGGAGCGAAGCTACACAAAGGAAGGGGGGTGCGAACGGAGGGAATCCCGCTGACGTCAGTGCTCATTAGCATGCGTGACCTCATGGGGGGCGGGCCCAGTCCCCCAGGTGTCGGGGTGGGGGGGTGCTGGTATTTAAGAGAAAAGGCTGACAGTGCTGCTGCGAGAGGGAGCGGGTGCTGGAGCGCCCCGGCGGCACACGCACAGCGCCCCGCACGCAGCACTCTGACCGGCAGCGACATGGACGCGGACACAGAGACCACCGCCCTCTGTCCCTCGGGCAGCCACCAGGCCTCCCCTCCGGGGACGCCCACCGCAGGTAAGGGGGAGCCGAAAGCAGGGCGACACGAGCCGGAGCTCTAGTGGGGAGGCGAGAACTGGGGTTGGAACCCACGCGGAGCAACTCTGCAAACCAGCGGGGAGCGCCTCGTTCCCCAGCTCACACCGGGACAGGGGGACGGGACGCGTGCGGGACGTGGGGGACAGGAGCTTAGGGGGAAGGGTGGTGGCGCTCCCCCATTCTGCCCCGGGGGCGTTGGGTGCTTGGCCCCCAGGTCAGCTGTGGCCAGGGGGAGGGGGTGAGCAGGGGCAGCCCCCAGCCCCGGGGGACCTGTTGTCGGGGTTTCTCTGGCTCCGGAGGCCTGGCAGCTGGCCAGGTATTGATCCTGGTCTATTTCCAGCCTTTCCCCAACCTCCTTTGTTGTGTCTGCGGATCCTCCTCGGGTTACCCTGACCGTGCTTGGTGCTTGGTCACTGCCTCTCCTCTATTAGGGTTGGGGGGAGGGGAGGAGGCCCTTGTACATTATTCCCCCCAGGGGCTTCTTGGGGACTTAGAAGAGGGACCCGGGGTCTTGTAGCCCCCAATGTGCTCACCTACAGCTCTGCGGGAAGCCGCAGTCTCGTACACCCACGGGTACCCAGCACACGCGCGCGCAGCACCGGGGGGAGAGCACAGGCTTCTCCTGGAACAGGCGCCCCACAAAGTTTTACTCACCCCCCAGGATCTGAGCTGCCACAGCCGCCTCCCCTCTGCCTCTCCCGTGCCTTCTCCAGCAGGCAGGGCCCATGGGGGCAGAGGCCTAGGCGGGGCAGGTGCCTGTGTGAAGTGTGAAAGGGGGCAGCAGCCCCAGCCAGAGACTGCATGGGACCACCCTTGTGCTCCACTTAAAGTGCCCCACCAGTTCAGGCTTGGGGAGGTCAGGGCCAGAGCCAGGCTCTCCGCAGCTCCTGCAGAAGCCTCTGAAGCCAGGACCCAGTCCTCCGAAGGTGGCCTTGAGGCCTACTCGACTGAGGGTTTCCTTTTCGTCCCTGCCCCCACCCCAAACCCTGTCTCCCCAGAAGCAGATGCTACAGTGCTGAAGCAGCCAGAGAAACTGCTGGCGGGCCTGGACCTGGGCGGACCCCCAGGCGCCCCCAGACGCAGAGGCAGTATGCCAGTGCCCTACAAACACCAGCTGCGGCGGACCCAGGCTGTGGATGAGCTGGACTGGCCACCCCAGACCTCCTCGTCGGGCTCCTCTGACTCCCTGGGTTCAGGGGAAGCAGGTGCCGCCCCGAAGGATCTTGTCTTCAAGGTCATGCTGGTGGGCGAGAGCGGCGTGGGCAAGAGCACCCTCGCAGGCACTTTCGGCGGTCTCCAGGGAGACAGTGCTCACGAGCCAGAGAACCCAGGTATCCGAGGGCAGGCTCGCAGGGGCTGGGGCGCTGCTGAAGCCTTAGAGATGGAAGAGTTAAAAGCAGGAGCAGCCCCTTGTAGCCAGACCCCAGGGAAGCTTCTCCCGTGCTTTCTGGGCTGGCTTCCCTTGGGGGCAGGTTTCCCACTCTACCCCCCAGGGCACTGGGATGAGAGGTCCTGGTTGTCAGGTCTCACAAACATTGGGGACCTCCTAACGGGCTATATTCCCATCCTCCTTGCCCAACAGAGGACACCTACGAGAGACGTATCATGGTAGACCAGGAGGAAGTGACGCTGGTTGTTTACGACATCTGGGAACAGGTGAGAACTTAGATGGGACTGCAGGAAAGTCCTGAGATCTGGTGGGGGCAGAAGAAAGGCAGAATCTGGCTAGTGGATCACTGCTTCTGCATTGATTACCTTTCACATGGGTTGTCTACGACATAGAAGGCGGGCATTAAAGTGCTTGCCACGCCTATGGGAGTTGCCATCCACCCAGGAACTCTTCCCTGGAGCAAAGTTAGGATCAGAATTTGACAAGTCCTGCAGGTGCTAGCCAGACTGAACACCCTAAAATTGGTCCCACCCAGATACTTTTCAGCCTGAAAAAGTTGGATGGGATAAGACAAGAGTTCCAGGTTCTGAAATAAGGGGTAGAAAAAATAAGGACTTGTGACTACTTGGGGCATAAACTGTATATAGAGCAGTAGGAGAATATATTACATGTAGTTGAATAGCATTCACTTTCTAATGAAGAGTTGATAAGGGGAGGGTCCAAGAATTGGTAGAGGATGCTTTCCTTGCATGCGCTGACCCTAGCCTATCCCCCGGCATCACATATGGGCCCCTAAGTAACCGCAGGAGTAAGCCCTGAGCACTGCTGGGTATAAACCAACATGTCCCTCTACACCAAAAACAGAAAAGGTGTTTAAAGAAATAGGGTGTGTTAACCTAGTTGTAAGATCCTCTGTCCCCTCGTGGGGCTTGCGTTACTTGTGTGCGCACACACACACACACACACACACACACACACACAGAGTCACACATACAACTTTGGGAATGGAGACTGAGCTGTCAGACGCAGGAAGGCGTCTTCATCATGCTTACACTCCTAGGTCCTGACATGCTGTGACTTTCCACCCATCTGCAGGAGGACTCAGGCGGGTGGCTGCGGGACCACTGCCTCCAGACGGGGGACGCCTTTCTCATCGTCTTCTCAGTCACTGACCGAAGAAGCTTCTCCAAAGTGCCAGAGACCCTCCTAAAGCTCCGGGCTGGGAGGCCCCACCATGACCTGCCTGTCATCATTGTTGGAAACAAGAGCGATCTGGTCCGCTCCAGGGAAGTCTCCGTGGAGGGTGTGTATGAACCTCAACCTAGTGCATACGTGGCCGCGTGCGTCAGGGAACCCTCGCCCTCGCGGCTCGCCCAGAAGCTCCCACCCCTTCCCAGGTGCGCAAACCCAATAGCGTGTAGCCCGGGAAGCTCAGTCCCGAAGCCCGAGACCCTGGGGCTGCCACAATCTGCCCTGCACCTGCTGGGGGGTGGGGAGGGGGGGCTGGTCTCAGTCGAGGTGATTGACTTCCCGCAGCCGCTTCCCGGGCGCCCGCGGGGTCTCCCCTGCGCTCTGGCGTCTGAGCCGCTCCCTTCTTGCAGAGGGCCGCCACTTGGCCGGGACCCTGGGCTGCAAGCACATCGAGACGTCGGCCGCGCTGCACCACAACACTCAGGAGCTCTTCGAGGGCGCCGTGCGCCAGATCCGGCTGCGGCGGAGCCGGGGCCGCGCGGCCGGCGCCGAAGGGCCGCGGCCGGACTCGGGCAGCCCCGAGGGCCCCGCGCCGCCCGCCCGCCGCGAGAGCCTCACCAAGAAGGCCAAGCGCTTCTTGGCCAACCTCGTGCCGCGCAACGCCAAGTTCTTCAAGCAGCGCTCCAGGTCGTGCCACGACCTCTCCGTGCTCTGAGCTGCCGTCGCCATGGCCACCGCGGTCGCCAAGGTCACCACCGCGCCCTCCGCCGGCCCTTGCCCCGCCCCGCCCCCGTCTGGCTTCCGTGGTGAAGTCCGGTCTAGGAAACCAAAAACTCCCAGGGCACCCACACCCCTCGGCAGGACCGCGTGGGGCAAGGTCCCAGGCGGGGGGGACGGGTTCTGGTGGGTCAGGAAGGAAAATAATTCTGCAAGTTTTCTGGCTTGGTTTGGTTTGAATTAATTCATGCTTGATCACCTCTTCTGTAAAGAGAGCCTCAAAGCGAGAACTGGAAAAGCGCTTTACCGACTCCTTTACAGAGTTTCCACCTTTGTACTCTGCGCGAATATGCCTCACGTTTAAGAGCTTTTTTTTTTCTTTTTGGGTCACTCCCAGCGATGCACCAGGGTTACTCCTGGCTCTGCACTCAGGAGTTATCCTGGCAGTGCTCAGGGGACCCTATGGGATGCTGGGAATCGAACCCGGGTCGGCCACGTGCAAGGCAAACGCCCTACCCGCTGTGCTATCTCTTCAGCCCCTGATTCTCTCTCTCTTTTTTTTTTTAATGTAGGAGTATTGCTATTTATTCAGCCATTGATTAGGCTGATTGAATTGGGCATAAGCTCCACCTTACTTTCTTCCCCTTTTTTATAAATTTATTTATTGGAGATTCTTAAATGTAAAGACATAGACACAACTTTAGGGACTTTTCCTAAAACTTTCTGGCTCTTATCTGCTGCACTTGTCCACTTTACCTTTAAGTAGTTCTTAAAGGCAAGTGCCTGCAACTGCAATTTTGGAGAACTGAGTCTGTGGTTTGCCACTGCACCCCGGGCACTGGCACTTCCCCTTTAAAGCTACTAAGTGTAAGGTGTGGACAGATTTCCTGCCTTCAGATGCGCCAGCGGGAAGAGCTGAACTGGGGGCATTTCCCCTTTGGGCTGTGCCCAGGTGGCCCCAGCAAGGGGGCCACCTTAACCTTTTCAATAAAGAATTTTTCTACTGCACTTGCTCATTTTGACTCTGTTCTCAAAGCTCCCCACAGAAGGAATGCATGTAGATGGAAATTACAGAGAAAGCAAAGCCCAGAGGGGACCCCAGCTCTCAGGAGGTTGCAGAGCAGCCCGAGGGCTGCTGGAGTGCAAGACAAGAGGCCTCAGGTTCTTAGAAATAATGAGTCCAGCTTAGCCTTTTGCCCAGTACACAGGCAGGGAAAGGGAGCTGCAAGCCGTGATTAAGAACATTTGTGACATTGAAAGACCAGGTCCTCAGACACCAGGAGGCTGGACCTGTGCTGGCTCAAGGTGAGACCCTCCAGGGAGGTCCATGAGCCCATGGGGCTAGGTGAGGCTGGTCTGCCCTTTCCTTGGCAGCCCCACCACCCAGCTGTCACCTGCAAAGCCCGTGTGAGAACTGAAGCTGTCAGTGCCTCCCCTGAGGACGCCCACGCTGCTGCTGCCTGCTTCACGAGTCTGAACAAAGAGAGCAGAGGCAGCAGCTCCCCTCTCCCTGCTTCTCTATCCAGCTAGCTACCTGAGCCCCCAGGGCCTGCTCCCCACCCCAGGTCCCAGCTTGAGTGCGACTGAGAGACCAGAGTCCCCAGTGCTGGTAACTAGGAAGAGAACCGGGGGGACCTGCCCAGCATGGGTGCTTAGGAGATAGTCAATGAACTAGGGTTCTATCTCTAGGACTCTTAACTGGTGATCCTTGTAATTACCTCCCTTGCTGCTTAAGAAACAGTTTAACCCACCTGAGGTCAATCCAAGTTGGGCTTGGATTCTCTTCCTTTGCTTGAGTCTTAGTGGTGATGATTTCCTTTGTTGGAGGGGAGAAGGCCCAACCCAACCAACTTAGGCTACTCCTAAGTTAGTGAGCTGGAGGGGTTGGGGGGGCGGGGGTCATTCCCAGCAACTGATTAGTGGATCATGTAATGCTGGAGATGAAATCCAGGTCCCACACGTAAAATATGCATCTCAGCTTTTTTGAATCATCTCCCCAGCCACCATAATGGTAGTTTCATCCAAGTTTGCACTTTGAGGGTTCCTTTTGTTAGGATGGAGAAGAGGGTGTGAGGGTTGGGGGGGGGGGGGAGGGTTGGAGTAGTACATGTGCATTGATGGGCAGGACCATGGCAGTGGTTGTGATAAGGAGCCACAGAAGTTAGAGAGCAGCAAACACTCTCTTAAAGCCTGGGAATCGTGAACAGAAGCAGTTTAAATCTTAAATCCAGGAAAACACTCTGGGCCCATTAAGGAACCAGATGGTTCTACAGTTGGGTTGAAACCTCAGGGACATGAAGAGGAGGGGTAAGAAAAGATGAGTATGAAAAAGAAGATTCTCAGCCTTACTGCAAAGGACCTTAAATGCCAGACAAGATTTTATGCCCAACTCTGCTTCTGGCTTTTTGTATGTGTGCCAGGGATCAAACCCAGGGTCTTACACGGGGGACGCATGCGCACTCTGTGCCCAACTAGCAGGCTGTGAAGTGAGTCACTTGTCTTTGTGGAAGTGACACAATCAGAATTGTCCTTTGGATACTGGAAGCTGAATGTGATCCATGCAGATCAGAAAAGCAGAGGCAAGGTGTAAGTTCCAACCAGTGAAGGATAATGAAGGGAGACCGCAGTGGGAGAGAAGGGCCATGGGTTTGAGTCAGAGCTAATGAGACTTGGCCACTGAGTGGCTGGATATAGAGAAGGAAGAGTTAGGTGGGGAGTAGGGTTTAGGGGATTGAGGAGGGGCAAAAAGTCTTTGAACATGGAGCCCTGTGTTCTCATGCTGTGTGGGGACCCACAGACTGAAGTCTTCTAGGGACAGGGGAAGGGAAATGGTGCAGTACACACTGTGGTTCATCACCTCAAACCACACCTTTTTTTTTTTTTGCTTTTCTTTGGGTCAGATCTGGCAATGCTCAGTGGCTCCTCCTGGCTCTGCACTCAGGAGTTACTCCTGGTGGTGCTTGAGGGACTATATGGGATGCTGGGGGTCGAACCCGTGTCACTGCGTGCAAGGCAAACACCCTACACACTGTACTATTGCTCTGGCCCACAGCTGGTTTGATTCTTGTGCGATGCTTCAAACAATTTGATGTAGGCATGAGAACAGGGGCCAGTCATATCAAATTCCAAAGGGGTCTGTGACTCAACTACAAATTACAAATCAGACTGTTACTACTGACTGCTACTGAGAAAAGGTGAAGGAGAGGTGGGAAAGTTTATTATTTATTTTTTAAATTTTGTTTTCTGAACACACCCAACAGTGTTCAGGACTTACTCCTGGTGGGACTCAAAGGAACCATATAAGGTGCTAGAGATCGAATCCAGGCTGGCAGCTTACAAAATGTCTTGACTGCTATACTAGATCTATACTAGCTCTCTGGACCTTATATTTAACTGTATGCCTGTAATACCTATTGACTCTTTAGTCTTATTGGTGGGGGCACACCTGGAGATATTCAAGGGGCTATTCCTGGATTAGTGCTCAGAGGTCTATCCTGGCAGTGTTCAGAGAACTTTATGGTGCCAGAGACAGAATTCGGGGTTCCTACATGCAAAGCATGTGCTGCAGTCTTTTGAGATTTTCCTGTACCCTCCCCCAACTGAATCTTTCACTATGGCATATATGTTCAAAAACTAAACTTAAGGGTACAGTGGGTAGGGTGCTTGCCTTACAAGTGGTTGACCCGGGTTTGATCCCTGTCATCCCAGATGGTCCCTGAGCACTGCACAGGAGTAATTCCTGAGTGCAGAGCCAGGAGGAAGCCCTGAGCATCACCCTGTGTGGCCCCCAAACCAAACCAAAACAAACAAAACCTAAACTTTAAAAAAGCCTTGGTGTTCCAGAGGAAGAAGAGAGGCTGAAGGCCGAGGAACAGACTGCTGAGGGTGGAAAGGCAGCACCAAAAGGGTGAGGGAAGAATTCAGATTGAGCTTGTGGTCGCTAGGCTGAGGGGAGGGGGATTTGGGGTCCAGAACATAGCAGAGTCGAGCACATGCTGGCCATCTGTGAAGCCCTGTGTTCAGCCCCTGGTTCACCTGCCTGGTGCCCCACTCTCACTTGGTGTGGCCCTCACAACAACAAAAGGAGTCCCCACTCCAGGCCGAGGAGACAGCTGACGGGGTAGCTCACATGCTTGACATCCCCGGGCATTGCTGGGTTCCATCCGTGGCACCGCATGGTCCCTGAGCAGCTATAGGAGCCCCAAATCAAGAGTAGCCCCCCAACACTCCTGGTGTGGCCCCAAAACCAAAAACAGGAGGTGCTTTTATTTCCTCCCCGAGAGGAGGAATACCTCCTCTGGTCAAATGTAGCAAGAAAGATGAGGAACCAGGCCAGTGGCGCTCTGCAGCAGCAGCTTAAACTGTGCATTCCGAAGATGATGATGGTGGAGAGCCTCCCCCATGAGGGGAGTCACACACCCTGCAGGCTTGCCTCCCCCCAGCTCAGTCAGTCCCATCAGCCCGACCCATCTGTGTGTTCCCTCAGACGCCTACAGGGAAGAGCTCAGAACAGACGGAAGCTGGAGCCGTGCTCCCGCCAGACGGGGAGAGACGGGGTCTTCTCTGAGCAGCGCCCCTTCTCCACCCAGGCTGGCTCTGCGGATTGTGTGGCCATCTGTGGCCATCAGCATGGGGCCCTGACACTGGCCCACCAGCACTCCATTGTGTGTGTGTGTGGGGGGGGGGTGTCTGTGCCCCCTGTCCCACAAGGCAGACCTGTGAGTTGAGACAGGAAGCAAGGCCAGCCATAACTCAGGATCCCTCTGCTCTGCCCTCCTTGTCTCCTCCCCCCCTTCCTCCAGCTTTGAGCTGGATCTTTATTTACTGATTTATTGTGGTCTGGAGGGCCACACATGACTGTGCTAAGGAGTGATTTTTTTTTTCTTTTTGGGTCACACCAAAGCGATGCACAGGGGATACTCCTGAATCATGCACTCAGGAATTACTCCTGGAGGTGCTCGGGGGACCATATGGGATGCTGGGAATCAAACCCAGGTCGGCTGCGTGC